AGAGATCTTGAAAGCAGTGCTAACTGTGCCAGCTCACACCCGTTATTTCCAAAACACCCATGTATGTTCAGTGGTGCCAAGGAAAGTATCTCCCCGCCAAGCAGATGACATCTCAGCCAGCCTGGTGCAGAAAATGGATGCAGCTCAGCCAGGGGTTCTCAAGTCCACTCTTCCAGTGCCCACTGGATGCCCTTTATCCAAAGCGGTCTTTGATCTGCTCTCCAGGGCTGCACTGAAATACCCATCTGAGAACTTCGCGAGAGCTGGAGATCTGAGAAGAAATGCACTGAGAAAAGCAGTCTTCTCTCTCCCCCATGAGTGACTCCAGACCACCCCAGGAAGCAACAGCATCTGTAACAGCTCATAATGACATCAAAATGACAACCCACAGGTCATGATGCCTTTATGCAGATGCTCGTGCTGAGAATATTATCACACGCATACAGAACACACACCCCATTCCACGGTGGGGAACCTGTAGAAACAGGAAACAGTGTGTTACAGCTACTCCTTCCTTCAAAGGAGGCAGAGGCAGGTCTGGATTTTTGCAGGGGATCAAACTGTTCTAACAACAGTTGAGTCAACAAGTTCTCTTCCCAGTCCTACTTTTACTCAAGGCCATCCTTGCCTTTGAAAAAAAAGACAGAAGAGAACAAGGGAGGTCTTGGCCTTCTGTCCCTGGAAACAGTTTGTTTTGTGGGAAGTTGTTCCCTTCTTATCCAACGTTTTGTAGCCCTATTTCTCTACCTCAAGTGGATACCAGACCACCTTGACTGCACACTTCAGGACACAACACTCAGGACACTGCACAAATACACAGGGAGTTGCCTGCCAACTAAATACAATTCTGCAGGATGGGGAGTTGCAGCACTCCAGCTTCGCCAGCCCCAGTAGCACCGGATGGTCCAGAAAGAAGGACGCTGAAGGCCACGTAGATCTGGAAGGCCACCAGCTCACAGCCTGGTTTAGCCCAAAGTCCACAAGGACTGCCACAAAAATAAATCTGTTGTTCTGTAAATAGCCTTTAGTCCTAAATTTAAAGGTTCAAGCAAAAGCAGTACTTACCCTGGCCCTATTCTAACCCCACACTAGGCTTCTCACATGAGCAAGCTAGTTACTTCCAGAAAACATACATTCAAGACAGCATCTTCTTGCGCACCTTCTGATCCTGGAAGGAACCTGTTACTATCATTATAATAGCCAACAGCTGCACCTTTTATGAATGTGACTCTTCTCTCTTAAAATTAAGCCAAGAAAACCACTAACATGGAGCTCTTCTATGGATCTGGTGAAGTGAGACGCATCTCACAAAAGCATATGCCTTTTAATAAAATGTGTAGGTCAGAAAAGGTACTACCAGACTCCTTCTGAAAAGGGTTCAGGAGATGTTTAGATCCTGAGAGATCAAGGCTCCAGCCCCCATCATCTTCAACTAGAAGTCGCACTAATTATGGCTTGAAAAAGTTCAAGACCAACCCCACACACCTGCCAGGTGTGCACACATTGCACTAAGCTGTGGTAGCTTCACCACAGTTCGTGAACTTCAAAGACTGGGTTCGCGCATGTGCCAAAATGAGGAGGTGACTCCAGGTGCTGCAATCTAGCAAAAACCTATCTTAGAAGAAGGCAGGGAAGATGGTGGCAGCACAACCAAATCCAGTTCTTACAAGCAACAGCTATGCGGCAATCCACATTCTCATCTTTCCTCGCCTGCACAAGGAAACCAGCGCACACACACAAGAGGACTGCCCCAAGAAACTGAAGGACCCCAAAGTAAATTTAAACCCCCCTCCCCCATAGATCTTTGTTTCCTCTGGTTTCTTTAAATCCCTTCTCCTCCCCAAAAGGTTTTCACCCAGCGGGTGTAAAGGGGGATTTAAGAAGAGCACATCCTCATTTCCACAAAACAAAGATACACCCATTCAGCCCCATGACAAGCCTAAGCAAAACAAAAATAGGTCCTTGTGCATCTCAGCTCTATTCTATTGGGCTCTGGATTCTGACCTAGGTCAGAAATAACAACAGCTCCTCAGACATGCCCAGGATTTATTAAGAACAAAAAACAAAAACTCAATACAATTTTTTTCTAACATTATTATAGTCCTAAAACTGACTTTGGAGATGAAAACTGCTAAGTCAGTGTTAGAAGGTTAGAAGCTTCTAACATCAGCTTGAGCATTATTTTTTTGTGTTAGGTTGGAAGAAGCAACACCCTACAAAGCTGTCTTCAGGTGCCTAGTTAATGAACTTGAACTTCACAACCAGTTTGCACCCAGTAACATTTAGGGGACCTGCTTCTGGACCTGGGCTTCAGGCTGGTGATGGACACCCCCCACCACCACCACCAACTGGTACTGGGAGACTTCAACTCCATGCAGTGGAGGCTGATCTAGTAGAGTTCATGGCTGGTCCCAGGTAATCTCAGATCTGACACATGTGGCTGGACATGGGTTAGACCTTGTTTTTACTTTGAAGCAGCTTTCCTGTGATCTAGACATGGAAGTGTTATCATCACCACTTCACCACAGTCAGATCACTTCCTAACTGTGATAGGGCTGGACCATTTGACCAATCTTCCTAGATGTCTTATGGATCTGGAGGGCTTCAGCAGGCACTTTGAGGAATTCCCCAACAACCTGACAGGCAACTCCACTGAGGGCTGTTGGTGGAATCACTCTTAAGTGGCCTCTCTTTGTCAGCCAAACTTGGGGGGTTCCTTGGTTTACTGAGAACCTCTGGGAGATGGAGCATCAGAAGTAAAGCCTAGAGGGTTGGTGGAGAAAGAAAAAAAATGAATCTGATCAACCATGGGTACGTGTCTATGCTTGGCCAGATGCTGTGGCAATAAGGGAGGCAAAGCATCTTCACGTCTCCCTTATTGTATTGGTTGGCTGTTGTCCAGCAACCTCATTTAGGGTGGCTAATCCCCAACTGGGAAAAAGCCAGCTGCAAGAGCTCGCACCTGGCTGCTATGACCAGGTAGCATAACATCTTGCATGTAAAATCAAGATTAACTTGAATGTTGACTCCATATGATCTTGTCATGTTACCTTGGGTTCTTTTTGGCCTGGGACCTCTGATGAAGTGGAGAAGATGTCTCCTAAGATACCTTCTACTGCCTGTGGGCTGCTCTTGGGCTCTGTTGGGCAGCCAAGAGAAATAGTTCCCTGGATCTGGAGAATTGTTAATGCCACAGGCAGGAGGGGATATTTCTGGCAGTCTTAAAGGAGGTTGTGGTCTGACCTCTCTTTAAAAGGCCTTCCCTGGATCCAACGGGATTAGACAACAAGCACCAAGTCTCCTCTCTCCCTATTATTTAATAACCATATGAAGCCATTGTGAGAGGCCATCCAACAGCTTAGGAGCCAATACTATCAATGCACTGCTGACATCCACATTTATGTCATCACCCTGGCTGTGTTGGTGATGCCACTGAGGTCTTCTCCCCATTCCTGGAGGCTGTGAGGGTCTGGATGGACAAGAACAGGCTAAAAATGAACTATAGCAAGACTAAATGACTGTCCATCAAGACTCTCCATCTGCTCCAATGGCGTCTCTGGATGAAGAACCACTACCCTGAAGAAGCAGGTTTATGACTTGGGAGACCCGTCGCTGCTGCTGGAACAGTAGATGGAAGCCATGGCTACAGAGGTCTTTGGTCAGCTTCAGCAGATGCACCAGAAGCAGCCTTACCTGGAGCGAGAGGACCGTGCTGCAGTGATTCATGGCCTTGTCACTACCTTATTTGGACTACTGCAGGACAGTCTACTTGGGGTCGCCTTTGAAGCCCACTCAGAAGCTCATGCTGGTCCAAGGTACAGCAGCTTGTGTGTTAACACACATGCCAGTAGGAGCACATTATGTTTGGGTTGTGGATCCTCCAGCGGATAGGTTTCCAGGTGCCATTTAAAATGCTGGTCTTTATAAAGCCCTTTATGGCTTGGCACCAAGTTACGTTCAAGACTGGAGTTATCCCAATCAATGCAATCATGTCAGGAAAAGCAGCCTGTTGTTCCCCACTTCTGGGAGGTGAGGGGGGGCTGAAACTTAGAGCTACTACTTGGCAGAAATTAGATTAGCTCCCACATTAACTGCCTTCCAGAAGCAATTAAAAACAGAGCCCTTCCGGGGGCGGGGGTAATCTACTTGATAAAGGTTTATTTTATACGTTCTATTATTTTAAGTCAACCCTGAGAATCCTTCAGGATTGTAACAGAGTATAAATTTAACAATATAACAAAGAAGCAAAAAAATAACAATATATAACAAATAAATTAATTGTGATTCTTTAAATCAAAGACTAATGGCTCAGTTCCAACCCTCCAAGTCATAAACGATGGTTTGCCCATCCCATTACAGGGTTAACCCGCCACTCTCTGCCCCAGATCAAAGAAACCATGCTATGTCTTGATTCAATGTGTGAACAAACCCCTTTCGGCTAAAATTAGTTTTTCAGAGCTTCTCAAAGAGCTTCCTAGAACAAATGCCTGATTTGCCAACAGGAAACAGGTTACACTTGCTTGGTTCAAAGTTACTGCTTTACAGGACTGAAGGCCTTCTTCCAGAGCCAGATGACTCTCATAATTATATTTCAAGAACGGTCTTGGGAGAAGATGGGGGAAGATCCCTGAGCAAGAAGACCTTGATGGACACGCAGTAACTCCAGAAGACCTCCAAGCTCCCTTCCAACCCTTTGATCCTATGATACTCCAGAAGACTCAGAGGCCTTCTCCCCCTTCATTAAGGTCCCAGCCAGGGCTACAATATCTCAACCTCAGAAGCCCGTTGCTACAGCTGACTTCTCCTCGCCTTCCAGCCTAAGCAGGGGCAGGAGAAGAGGAGTGACTCCTGTCTCCAGACCAGGGCAATCCCAAGGCCGTTGGGAGCCCCGGCACGGAGGCGGGCTGAACCCCGAAAGCTCTCCGCAAAGAAGTGGTTCCCTGGCCAGGTGCGGGGAGAGCGCGGCGTCCCCGGGCTGGCCGACCTGCCCCACCGCTTACCGCGATACTGGAGAGCTCCAGCCAGGCGGACGGTGACGGTGCCTACCAGCGGCTCGCCGGGGCTGAAGACAACCCGGCTGTCGCTCAGGCGGAT